GGGTCGACCACGGTGAAGTATGGTCAAACAACCCCTACACCCACCGGTGGTATGGCAAGAGGCTTTAAACTATTAATGTTTGTTATTATGGCTCAACGGGACTGCCCGCGTGTCTCAGCGGTCGAGAGAGTGGCTGGCAGTCGAAAGATTGCCAATTCAACTCCTGGCTCAGCCCATAATTCCTCTCTCCGGGGAGGGGAAGGGTGAAAACTTTTGCACCAATTTGTGCGAAAATCACCAGTGGTTGCCGTATGGATATGCATCTTCACCGCCATAGAAACGTGGAATTTCCGCCGCTGGCTCTTCCGCAACGGGGGCTCGGCACCAGTTTGTATCAATGCCCCATTTGAGTCGTGAACCACAGTTGGCTTTTGACCTCTGCAACGGCGCCAGCTGTCGCCAACCAAAGTGAGACGTTGAACTCTGGAAGCAGCTTTCCTTTGCACCTCTTCGTTCACCAAACACACACAGTGAGTTCCGCTGAAGTCGTCGAATTTTTGGGTTGCTCTGTTGCTGCTGCGTATTTTTATTTAATTTCACTTTTTCTTCTTCTTACTCTCCGTGCCCCCGCCACTACGGCTGGATTATAATTTTTTTTTTCTCTAATAAAATAAAAACTTAGTGGCACGCACAGACTCCAGCAGACTTGATAAATGAATGTCTCTCTCCTGCTCCTCCTCCTCCTACGCGCGGGCGTGTGCGTCCCACTCATCGTTCGGAACTGGCACGCGGAGCGAGCGCCACGGTGGGAGAGAGAGATACGCTGCTATAAATCCCCACGCGATCAGCCACTTCGTTGAGCTGTCATTTTGCGGCCGAGTCGCGTCTGAAAAAAATAACTAATAGCTCAGTAGGCTTTATCTGGTGCTATAGAATTAAACATAGTTTAGTTTTCACGTATTTTTTTTTTCGTGGAGTGTTTACCCTGACTATACTTTGCACTAGTACCGTTCGTTTCGTTGCATTATTTGTTGCAGCGTTCTGACACGCCCCTACTGGACATGTGTGCAAAAGAGCTTCATAGCTCATCGGATTTACCCTCCAGGCTCACTAAAGATTCTGACTCACGTTGTGAGAGCTGCCGACGGCTGCCACGTGAATTTCTACCCGAGAATGAATGCCTCCCCCCCCCCCCCCCGTTCATCCGTGCGTTCAATTCTTCACGTGGCGTCTGCTTTTCAACACCGTTGCTCTGTATTCCTCGCAACGAACGCAACTGATGAGAAGTTGTAGATTCGTATTTCCCTACTGAGTAGAAAAGCCAAGAAGATCCCCCTCGACGGCTACTCGGCCGGCAGACCGCATCGAAGCGTTTCCCACGCAATCACGGAAGTTTTAAAACAAAATCAGAACTTAAACGTTCGTGATACTGGTAGGAACCCACTGGTTCCACCAGCCCACAGGGGATTATTGTGTCCGTCCGTCCGTCGTGCAGGGAGGGGCTTGGTGGGGAGGGAGGGGCTGGGTGGGGAGGGGCTGGGTGGGGAAGGGAGGGGCTGGGTGGGGAGAGGAGGGTGGGGAGGGGCTGGGTGGGGAGAGTGGGGAGGGGCTGGGTGGGGAGGGTGAGGATGGGCTGGGTGGGGAGGGTGGGGTGGGGCTGGGTGAGGAGGGGCTGGCCACCCCGTGCAGTCACGAAAGCTTTAAGTCAAGATTTAATCTCAACGCCTGTTGGATTTTAAAATGTGGAGAAGTTAAACGGAGGAAGCTGTCACGCTACCACCACGGGGTGAGAGGACACGGGGGGCTCCATTTCATCTACGGGCATCATCAGGGTCCGCGATCGAACCTACGACCTCCTGCCTACCAGGCGAGGGAGATAACATCTCTCAACAAATAGGATAAAGGTGCATGCATGCAATGGCTTGCTCGCGCTATTGCTGCCGGAAGGGCCTCCACGACATAGAGAGCTGTGGAGAGCGTCTCTCTGGAGCGCGCGTTGGCCTACTCTTCCCACGATGGCATTGTCTCGGGCGGTTTGCTGACAGTGGATGGCTCTACCCACTCGCCCAACAACATGAATGAGGAGGATTTTTTTGGGGGGGCGGGTGGAACAAGCCGGGACAGGTGGCCACGATCGCGTCAGTTCCGCAGGCACTTCGCGTGTTTCCATTGCAACTGCACACCATGGGGACAGCGCTTGCCAGGATCAAAATATTGTACAAGAATATGCTTTTACCCTTCCTGGCAACGAAACGGGTGTGTGAAGATGTCTAAAGCACCAAACGTAAACCCTTTGCGAGGAGTGATGTCTGCATTTTCACCACATATACTTGTGGTGAACATTCAAACAAAAAACGCTAAAATATGCTCTGGTCGTTACTACCAGTTACTACCAGGGCAGATGTTTTGTGTTTTCTGTTTGCATGTTCGCCACCAGTATATGTGGTTAACGCATGCATGATTCCTCCTTGCAACGGGTTTCAGTTTGGTGTTTTAAACATCTTAACACGAACCGTTTCATTGCCAGAAAGGGTAAAACCTATTCCCATATGCGACCACATAGCCACCGTTGCAAACGGAACGCGAACAATGAGATCAACATATATATAACGGAAACATAACAACAACAATCTCACCATTGGAACCTCCTTTGCCAGTAGCAAAATATGATAATTGGTTTTTTACCCTTTTATCTGGCAACAAAACTGACACCTCTAAGAAAAGCTGTCTCGGGTGTGGACCAATCAATTTCAAGGACAGTGCGCATACCTTATCAGAGTTGTGTTTTTTGTTTGAATTCTGACCGCAGATATTGTGGTCAATGCCTCCTTGTAAAAAAGGTGTCAGTTTTGTTGCCAGATAAAAGGGTAAATAAACAATTATCAACAACAATCTCGTGATTGTACGCGTGCTAGTAGCGCCACAGCGCGTGGATTTGTAGCGTTTATTTTCATTTGTTTGCTGGTGACTTTGTGTATTTCATATCGAAATCGCCACCTCCAGTGCTGTTGCTACTGGCGGCAATAAAAGTTGTTTAAAAGTCAAAGTCTTGCTCGCTCGTTCTCTCTCTCACTCACTCTCTCGCTCGCTCGCTCGTTCTCTCCTCGACAACGTTCAGAATCGCCGAGTTCCCCAGCGCTGAGTGCGAGTCTGGTGGAAGTGAGAGAGATGAGAGTTATTACTTTTAAACCACTTTTATTGCCGCCAGCAGCAACAGCACTGGAGGTGGCGATTTCGATATGAAATACACAAAGTCACCAGCAACACAAATAAAACAAACGCTATAAATCCACGCGCTGTGGCGCTAAATGCACCGCGCACAACACGAAAGAAAAGTCACGTGGTGGTGGTGATGGTGTTCATCGCGCACGCCACGGTGACGAGCGAGCGCTTCAGAAGGAGGAGGAGGAGCGCGAGACAGAGAGAGAGAGAGGGAGGGAGAGAGAGAGAAAGTTGGTAAATGTTCATCCATCGCATGTGTTCATCACGCAGTTGTTCACTCATACCCGCTCTCATGCAGTGTGGAAGAGACGAAGTCCATACGGATGCGCAGACGGTCTGTGAATGGGACATTCATACGTTGGTTATTTAATTTGCACGCTTGTCGATTGATTAATTAATTCCTTCATTAATTGTTAGGCGGTCACGCCATCGCGCGCTTTAAAAATGTGCTTCTGGGGCCGTCTGGAACGCTCTTCCTTCCGATATTAGGAAGACACCGGAGCGATTAACTTTTAAATCATCATCATCATCATCTTAATTGTCAAACTCATTTATTTTTTCAGAATAGATGTTTGTGTTTAGTTTGTTGTCCTTCCCCCGCATCTCCTATTAGCACGGTTGGCTACGCACGGGTGCGAAAAAGCTCTACACGCACACGCTGCACGTAACCAGCAATTTAGATCAGACAAATGTTATGAACCTCCCTTCGCCTGGCCGTGGAGGAGGAACCGTACCCTGGGCTTTGCCAGGAGAAAGCGGCACAGCAAATGTGTGGACTGACGTCATCTGTCCCTTCTGTGCAGGGTGGAGGGGGGATAGAGCGTTGCGCCCTCGCACGCGTGGATTTACTTCGGGCGCTCCGGTTTCACTCCCACGTCGTAGCACAATAAACGCTCGCTAATTGGACGAGAACATCCTAGCGCGCAGAGAGAACCGCAGTGCGAATTGTCGACAGCTCCGGCTCACACCGCCTGGCAGCCTTCCAGCTCGCGGGTGTGGCTCATACTCAGCGATTGCGAGATGCGATTTGAGCCAGAAGTAATCGTAACTCGAGCCAGAGCGCAGAGGCAAGCGAGGCAATTTTCGAGCGCAATTAATCCCTCCCCATTGCTCCGCGGGGGGCAATCGGGAGGCCTTTTCGAGCGACATCGCAGCATAGACGCGCTCGCAAACCGGCTGCCACTCACGTGCAGAAGTGAAGTTTCAGTCCTCTGAGGTCACTCCCTCCGCCCCCGTTGTGTTGATTGGATGTTAAAGTCTCCAGCTGGGAATGTCACTCCCCTCTATCCACACCAACATGGTCTCTGCGTCTCTGCATCCCTTGTACGCCGCAACTCTGTGTGCGTTGACTGTGGTGCGTGTATCGACCCCATGGCGCAACCAGTCCATATTAAGGGTGTCTTTCTAAACTCACCAACTCGCTCACCTACCCATCTGCTCATCAACTCGCCCACTCACGCAGGGTGACCTCATCTTATCCTCTGCGTCTCTGCCCCTTGTACGCTGCGCCTCTGACTGTGATCCGTGTCTCAACTCCGCAGCGCACCCCGTACATATTGATTGACTCTCTCTCTCTCTCTAAACTCATTCGCTCACCTACTCACCTACTCATCAACTCACCCACTCACGCAGTGTGACCTCATCTTCTCCTCTGCGTCTCTGCCCCTTGTACGCTGCGCCTCTGACTGTGATCCGTGTCTCAACTCCGTAGCGCACCCAGTACATATTGATTGACTCACTCTCTCTAAACTCACTCGCTCACCTACTCACCTACTCACTCACTCACGCCCCCCCCTCCTCCTCTTCCCTCTGCATCCCTCCCGCCGGCATTCCTCTAGCGACGGCTGGGCCGACCGCTACGAGGTGATCGACGGATTCGAGGTAGAGGCCGTGGGAGGCATCACCATCAAGCTGCAGTCGGCCAAGGTGAAGTGGTTCGACCAGCACTACCTGAAGCTGCGGCTCGACACCAACAAGCACAACCCGTGGTTCGCCGAGTTCTGGCAGCGCCGCTTCGAGTGCCGTCTCAAGGGCCACGCGCAGGAGAACGCCGCCTTCCGCCGGCAGTGCACGGGTGAGGAGCGGCAGCGCGGCTGCCTCTCGCTGGCCCCCTCGCTCGCTCGTCTACCCACTCGTTCGCTCACTCGCTCGACTACCCACTCACTCGCTCGCTCGTCGGCCTACTCGCTCACTCACGCACTCACTCGTCCACTCATTCACTCGCTCGCTCACTCACGCACTCACTCACTCACGCACTCACTCATTCACTCGTTCACTCACTCGCTCGACTACCCACTCACTCGCTCGCTCGTCGGCCTACTCGCTCACTCACGCACTCACTCGTCCACTCACTCACTCGCTCGCTCACTCACGCACTCACTCACTCACGCACTCACTCATTCACTCGTTCACTCACTCGCTCGACTACCCACTCACTCGCTCGCTCGTCGGCCTACTCGCTCACTCACGCACTCACTCATTCACTCGTTCACTCACTCGCTCGACTACCCACTCACTCGCTCGCTCGTCGGCCTACTCGCTCACTCACGCACTCACTCGTCCACTCATTCACTCGCTCGCTCACTCGTCCACTCATTCACTCACTCACTCACTCACGCACTCACTCGTCCACTCATTCACTCACTCACTCGTCCACTCATTCACTCGCTCACTCACTCACGCACTCACTCGTCCACTCATTCACTCGCTCACTCACGCACTCACTCGTCCACTCATTCACTCGCTCGCTCGCTCGTTTACCCACTCACTCACTCACTCGCTCGTTCGTCCGCCAACTCACTCACTTGTCCACTCAGGCACTCACGTACCCATCCACTCAATACCCAATCACTTACTCACCTACCCTCCCACTCCCTCGCCGACCCACTTTAAATCGCCCACGCACTCGCCAACTCACTCACCTACCCACCCACTAACCTACCCACCTACTTACTCGTACACTCACTCACCTAACCACCTATGCACTCACTCAACCACCTTGCCACTCACCCACCCACCCACCGACTCGCTCACGTGTGCAGTGCATGTATGTACACCGACGGCTAGTCGCCTCCTTGTTCCTCTTCTATTGCTACTCCCATGCGCCAGCCTGGTGATTGCCCCTGCTACCTTCACTCGTTGATTCCTATCACATGTGCTGCGGGCCCGGTCGATCAGTCGGCACGTTTCATCTCAACCACCTACCCAGTCGCTCGCCCAGTCAGTCACTCACTCACCCAGTCAGTCACTCACTCAGTCACTCACTCAGTCACTCACCCAGTCAGTCAGTCACTCACCCAGTCAGTCATTCACTCACCCAAGTCAGTCACTCACCCAGTCAGTCACTCACTCACCCAGTCAGTCACTCACCCAGTCAGTCACTCACTTAGTAAGTCACTCACCCAGTCAGTCACTCACTTAGTCAATCACTCACTCACCCAAGTCAATCACTCACCCAGTCAGTCACTCACTCACTCACTCACCCAGTCAGTCACTCACCCAGTCAGTCACTCACTCAGTCAGTCACTCACCCATCCATCCATAGAGCACTTGCATGGGTCAGTGTGGAGTTGGCAGTTGAGGCTCACTGAACGCAATCATCTCAGCAGGCTGTTTAAAATATGTAGCGCACTGTGGGCGAATCAACAGCAGTCGCCCTACGGGGAGACATGGACGAGGCGGAGGCAACGTGGAATTTCCACCAAATGGCTGAGGGCTTCACGAACCGGGAGGCGGGGCACTGCCCGGGTGTTCACGTTTGCTCGAAAGGACAGAATAAAGATTGCACTTTTGTTTTCTTAAAACCGAGTCACGAATGCGGGAGAGGAGGCATCATCGGAGCAATGATGGATCCACTTTGTTACTCCTAACGCAATGATATGGGGCTCAGCCACCCCAATGTAGAATCACATCCGTTGCTCTATACAGCAACATCATGCATCCAAAGGATACTGCAAAGATCTATAGACTCACACCGAGACCCGTAGACTCACACATAGATCTATAGATTCATATAGAGACCCACAGACTCACACAGAGACCCATAGACTCACATAGAGACCTATAGACTCACACACAGACCCATAGACTGACACAGAAACCCATACACTCACACAACGACCCATAGATCAGCACTGAGACCCATGGTCTCACAAATAAACCCATATAATCAGACAGAGAGCTATATGAAGGAGGCATCATCACAGGGCGGATCCACCACAGCACCTCAATGTCGAATCATCACAGGCGTGGCTCTCCATCGACATCAGCGGCCGTACAAAGAAGACCGAGAAAGGGAAATTAAAACAACAAAACACCCTCTTACGTCCATTACATTCAACCTGCAAACACGCGAAGCGCACACCGGGCACAGGACAACAGCAATAGACACAGAGACAGGCAGACAGACAGGGGGTGACAACAATAGACACAGAGACAGACAGACAGCCAGACAGACAGACACACAGACACACAGGGAGTGACAACAACAGACAAACAGACACACAGACACACATACACACAGGTAGACAGACAGCCAGACACACAGGAGGTGACAACAACAGACAAGCAGACACACAGACAGGTAGACAGACAGACACACAGGCACACAGGTAGACAGGTAGACAGGTAGACAGACACACAGACACACAGACAGACAGCCAGACACACAGACACACAGACACACAGGGGGTGACAGCAACAGACAGACAGACACACACACAGACAGACAGGTAAACGGGGGCACGAGCCGGGCACATTCTCTCGAGTTGACGAAGTCCCGCGGTTAAACCCGCGGAGGCGGCGTTTCACCAACCTGTGGTGCACGCGGACCAACACAAAGACAAAGATTCCCCTATAGCCTTAACAGATTGTAGGGGCAAGCGCTGTTAGCGAGCACCTATGAAGGCCGGAACGGCACACGAGGGGGTGGGTGGCCAGCACCACGCCCGACCGCCTTTGTCTCCCCAGTGGCGATGTTTACACACCGCACTGGATACTCATTTGAGGCTGAGTCGACCTAGGGGAGACCCAGGATCGGTTCAGATAATCGTCACTGGTGTTGACCGTGAGCGGGAATCGAACCCGGATCGCCAGGTTCATAGCGCAGCGTTGCGCTTCCCACTACACCACCACCACCCCGGGTACGATACACGTAGAATAACCTACCCCTTGTACACGAAGCAGTCCTCCTTAAACATATTCAGTACCTCAACCCAACCTTATTTGCAGAAACTAATACATTTAGATATTCCATCAAGGTCCTGAAGCTCTTCGCGTCTCCAACTGCTCAACACTCCCAGGTCTCGCTGGTGCCTTTTTGCTGATTGGTGCTTTTGTTAGCGCGGCAGCACGAACTATGGAACGCCTTTCCACTTGAAACCCCATCTCTTTAAAGTGACGTCGTTTTTTTTTGGTTTCCTGCTTTCAATGCATTGCACATTGGGATCCTAGGATGCAATGCCCATTACACATTTGAATTGCTTGATTTAAAGCTTTCGTGACTGCAGGAATCCATACTCTTTGGTTCTTTCGGTAAAGTCACGTAGGTATGAAATAAAATAAATCACGACGTTTCGGGCGCAACACAAGCGTCCATCATCAGGTGGGCAGGCTGTCGTGATTTGTTTTATTTCATACCTACGTGACTTTACCGAAAGAACCAACGAGTATTTGAATTCCTATCAAACCTCCGCCTCTTCTCTATTTCCCATTCACCTCCCCTCCCCTCGCCCCTCCACTCCTTCCCGTCCCTTTCCTACAGCCGCTCCGTGACCCCCCCCCTACCCTAAGTACCTGTCTATCGCTATCACTCATTACTCAAAACCCTGAAGCACTGCCCCCCCCACCACCTAAATCGTTCCATCCTGCCGTGTCGCCGCTTTCTGCGAACTGTGTCAAAGCGCCTCGAGTGAAGACCGCCAGCGGCGCTCGACGCTCTTGCCCATTCCTCTTAAGCTTCCTCTTCTTAATCTTCTTATTCTTCTAAAGTTTCTTCTTAAGCCTCTTCCTCGCTGGCTGGCGAGGACGCGTGACTCCGCCAGAGCCAGAGAGCTGAAAGGTGGCGGCAGGCGGTCGGGCGGGCGGGCGCGCGGTAAGGAGCCGAAGGAGCAGTGCCGTGGAGCTGAAGGGAGCCGGTCCAGCCTGGCCCGGCTCCCGTAGGCTCCAAGTGACGAACCTTACTGATCGGCTGCGTCGGGTGGTGGCTGTGTTAGCGACAGATTTATACTGACGCGATCTCACGCACAGACCCTTTGGCGTGGATAATTTGCGGTGATTAATAAACGCACGCGCGCACACGCAGCTCAAAGAGCTGAGCGGAGGCAGGCAGACAGACAGACGTGGGGGGGGGGGGGGGGGTGACGGGGGGGGGTGCTTCGCGGATACATCGCCTGGTGTACAGGAGGTCGTGGGTTCGACCCCGACCCTGACGCCTGCTGTTTTTTTTTTGGAGTTTGCGTGTCTCTCTCATCATCATCACGGTGGCTAGGATATGTTAACTACCTCGCCTGGTATACAGGAGGTCGTGGGTTCGGTCCCGACCCTGACGCCTGCTGCTGTTAATTTGGAGTTTGCCGTGTTTTTCTCGCCGTGGTCGCGTGGATTTTTCTCCGAGTCTTCCGGTTCCCCCCCCCCCCACCACATTAAAAATCAACATCGCGCGTTTAGAGCATTTGTCTGCTTGCTTTACATTTCCACACGACGACGATGGATGATAAGCCACTTCGTTGAGCCATCGTTTGTGATCGCCAGTTCGCTTCTGAAAGAGAGCCTCGTAAGCTCAGTGGGGACCTTCAACCGGTGAAGTAACAGCGAGAGGCAGTGCACGATGAGGCTCACGAACGAGCGCCTCATTCCCCGTGCAGAGGAGTTGGCGTGACGGCGAGAGAGGGGGTGGAGGTGCAATGGGTCGGGTCACGTGTGAGCCCTCCGCCTGCGTGTGTGAGCCCCGGGTGACCTCTGGCTATCTCAGGGGGGGGGGGGTCGCTAAGTGCGATGGAGAAGCCAGGCGCTGCATACCGAGTACCCTGCTCCCCCCCTTCCACAGCCCCCCCCCCCCATTCCGCACTCACACTA